GTGCAGGTGTGCTCAGCAAGTCATCTGCTTCAGGTTTTACAAAGCCACAATCAAGTGTGTTAGTTGAGCTGTGTTCCTTCTTCACATCTCTGGGAAAGAATCCACTTCCAAGTTCATTCAGGTTGTTGGCTAAATTGAGTTCCTTGCATTTCTGGATTCTTCCCTTTCATTTTAGCTTCCTCCAGCCTTGTTACCAGTCCAGGGCTGGTCTTTGTTCCAGGTGAACCACTCTAGTAATGATAGCTTAGTCCCTCTCATGCTTCTAACTTGATTTTTCTTTCTAGCTCAGTCTGACTCTAGATGGGAGAAGTTCTCTCTGCTCTTGAAAGCTCATTTGGTTAGATTAGGTCCACCCAGTTAGCTCAGGACAGTGTCTGTGGTTCTGGATCTTAAATCCTTTCATGTTGGCACATTCCCTTTCCCATGTAATTTAACCACTGCACAGATTCCAGGATTTAGGGCATTTCGGAATTTTTAGGGGACCATTCTGCCTGACACCCTCATATTCTCCTAAAAAGAAATTTGATAAATTGTGTGCCCTTGCAGATTTCTTTTTTTTTCCTTTTTTTTTTTTTTTTAAGATTTTTTTTTATTTGAAAGGCAGAGTTACAGAGAGGCAGAGAGAGAGAGAAAGAGAGAGGTCTTCCATCTGCTGGTTCACTCCCTGGATGACTGCAACTGTTGGAGCTGCGCCGATCTGAAGCCAGGAGCCAGGAGCTTCTTCCAGATCTCTCACACGGGTACAGGGGCCCAAGGCCTTGGGCCATCTTCTACTGCTTTCCCGGACCATAGCAGAGATCTGGATCGGAAGTGGAGCAGCCGGGACTTTACCAGCACCCATATGGGATGCTGGTACTGTAGGCGGCGGCTTTACCCGTTATGCCACAGCACCGGCCCCACCCTTGTAGATTTCAAACTTTATTCCCAATATTTTTCATCATAAGGTTAAATAGTTGAAAAAAAAATTTTGGCTTTTCTAGATACATCAGTTTTCTAAGTATCATTTTAAAGAAATGATGGTTGTGATTTTTTTTTTTTATTTGAAAGGTAGAATTAGAGAGAGGCAGAGACAAATATTCCATCTGCTGATTCACTTCCCAAATGGCCTCAACATCAGGAGCTGGACTCATCCAAAGCCAGGAGTCAGGAGATTCTTCTGGGTCTCCCACAAGGGTACAGGGGACCAAGCTCTTGGGCCATCTTCCACTGCCCTCCCAGGCCATAATCAGAGAACTGGGTTGGAAGAGGAGCAAGCAGGACACAAACTAGCACCCATAAAGGATACTGGCTCCACATGCGAAGGCTTAGCCTTCTACAACACAGTGCCGGTCCCAAGAACACCATTCTTTTTTTTAAATGATTTTTTTAAATTTATTTTTAAGATATATTTATTTATTTGAAAGGTAGCATTACAGAGAGACAGAGGCAGAGAGAGAGAGAGATCTTCTGTCCACTGGTTCACTTCCCAAATGGTCACAATACCTGGAGCTGAGCTGATCGGGAGCCAGGAGCTTCTTCCGGGTCTTCCACATGGGTGCAGGGTGCTTTCCCATGCGCAGTAGCAGGGGCCTGGATCAGAAGTGGAGTAGCCAGGACCCGAACCCGCACCCCTAAGGAATGCTGGCGCTATAGGTCGCGACTTTACCTGCTACACCACAGCTATTTACCACTGGGAAAGACAAGCCAGAGGGTTAATGGTGCCTTGATTGCTGTAGGCTTCAAAGACACTCCTATTTTAAATTATTCATTTGTTTAGTTCCATGGAAGTTTTAACAACATAGGGCAATGCATTCTAACATGGTTTGGGAATGGATGTGAGGGATGGGCTTCCTCTCCGGAAAAATAGTCAAATCATTTTTAGGTAAAGAAAAGCAAGTTGAAGATGTGGATGCTCTAATATTCTGTGGAAATCCTTTGTGTACCTTCAGTGATGCATACCCCAGTTTGAACTTTGCCACCTGGAAAGACTATCCCCCTTCTGTCAGCACCTCTCCCACAAGAACAGAAGTCAGCTTATTTCTACCACCCAGGATTGCCCTTGGATGTGTTAAACTTTGAGTTCATGCGCAAGAGATAATTCCTTTCTCATACTGATGCCTACCTTTTGGAGGCGCAGTATTTGGCTCTTACCCGGGTATTTGCAATTAGCAGTTTTTGCACTGCTATATTTGTACCTTTCTGTAGAGATCTCGTACTCTTTAAGTTAATTATATCCAAATTTAAGAAATACATGTACAGTAGGGATAGCTGTGGTATAAAAGATAGGTTCCTTAAATCTGTGCCTTTCAAAGACAAAAAATAACTTAAATATTTTTCAGTGTGGATGATTATCTTAACATTGTATGTGTAAGACATAAGCTATGCAGGCCAGGTGCAAGCTTAATATTGTTCCCTTTTGCTTGAAGTAATAATAATACAAGATACCTGTCTTGCTGTGTTTTAGGGTTATAGTTCCTAATCTTGTGTGAGCAACTGCTAAAATTAAAAAATATGTCACAAATGTCAATATACAAAAAGGAAAACCTAAAGCCATACTTTAAAAAGAAAACATTTCTCTGAAAAACAATTTGAGGAAATTTCTCTCTGCCCTGGAAGATGTGAACATTTACATTATCTCAGTCATTTGTCCTTTGAATTGCTTTTCCATTTATAGTCCCTATTTTACATTTGTATAGCTAAATATCCTACTCAAGTTCTTTTCTCTGTAAGGAACAGTCTGTAGTTAAAACAGAATTTTGTTGCCAGCTTTGAAATGAGAGTCTTTCTGGTGTTTACATCAGTTTTAAACATATTAAGGATGTTTCAGCCAACCTTATTGAAGGCAAAGTATAACGAACCCTTCTTTCCGACAGTCTGTGCAATAGGGAACTTAAGTTCATACATGGCTTGATAGTGGGATCTCAGCCCTGAGATAATGGCAAAGCATTCTGCTTTCCCTTTGAACATCATGCTCCCAGTATCATTGTCTTTGCTAATGCAGTGTGTAACCGAGGTTTTCAGTTCTTCAGACTCACCTTGAGCACTCCATTACTTACATAATGATAATGGCTCTATATAATCAGTTCTGAGTTTTGTGGACTGAGTTTATTCTCCCAAACAGTGATTTAGGCTGTTTCTTTGCTCTCATTGTTATTCTCATTTTTAGATTTTTTTTTTCTTCATCATCTACAGACTGGCATTGCATGTTTAGAGTTCTTACGAAGATTGGTCTTGCTCCATGATTGGCAAGATCTGCTTTTGAAAGCTCCCTTCAGTATACAGCCAAGGCATGTCTATGAGGAATCCAGCCATTTTATACTTTAGAATGAAATGAGTATGATGATAGGGATAATTAATTCTCCATCAATATTCTTTCTCTCTCTCTTTTTTTTCTTCTTATCATTGGACACTGCAGTTCATAGTTAAGCCTGGGGTAAAATGAAGAATTTATTTTCCAGCCTCCCTGTTGGCCTTGGACATGTGACTAAGCTCTGGCCTATGAAATGAAAAGTGAGATTTCTGAAGTGTCCTCAAAGGGATGCTATTTGCTCATTTTCCCTCTGTTCTTGCTGTCTCATCAGCAGATATGGCAAAAACGTGTTTTGTTTTTAAGATTTTGTTTATTTCTTTGAGAGGTAGAGTTACAGGCAGTGAGAGGTAGAGACAGAGAGGTCTTCCATCCACTGGTTCACTCCCTAATGGGCCGCAACAGCCGGAGCTGCGCTGATCCGAAGCCAGGAGCCAAGAGCTTCCCCTGGGTCTCCCACACAGGTGCAGGAGCCCAAGCACTTGGGCCATCCTCCACTGCTTTCCCAGGCCACAGAAGAGAGCTGGATTGGAAGAGGAGCAACCAGGACTAGAACTGGCGCTCATATTGGATGCCGGTGCCGCAGGTGGAGGATTAACCTACTGCGCCACAGGGTGTTGAGGGTGGTGGAGCATCTGGATCCCAACATTTATTTTTATATTTAAAAAATACAGAGGGGCCAGTGCCGTGGCTCACTTGGTTAATCCTGTGCCTGTGGCGCCGGCATCCCATATGGGCACTGGGTTCTAGTCCCGGTTTCTCTTCTTCCAGTCCAGCTCTTTGCTTTGGCCCGGGAGAGCAGTGGAGGATGGCCGCATGGGAGACCAGGAGAAGCACCTGGCTCCTGGCTTCGGATCGGCACAGCGCTAGCTGTAGTGGCCATTTGGGGAGTGAACCAACGGAAGGAAGACCTTTCTCTCTGTCTCTCTCTCTTTCTCTCTCTCACTGTCTATAACTCTACCTGTCAAATAAAAACAACAACAACAACAAAAATACAGAATGAGGGGCACCTACATGGTGGCAGAGCAGCTAAAGCCATGACACCAGCATTCCATATGGGCGCTAGTTCAAATCTCAGCTGTTCCACTTCTGATGCAGCTCTCTGCTAATGTGCCTGGGAAGCAGCAGAAGATAGGCCAAGTACTTGGGCCACTGCACCCACTTGAGAGAACCAGATGAAGCTCCTGGCTTCATCCTGGCTCAGTTTTGGTCATTGAGGTCATCTGGGGAGTGAATCAGCAGGTGGAAGCTCAGTCTCTCCAACTTTCAAATAAATAAATCTTAAACAAAACAAAACCAGAATGAAGGACAGTTCTGTCACTCATGATGCCAGTTAGAATGTACCTGGATCCAATACCTGACTTCAGCTCCTGATTCCAACTTTTATGCTTATACCGACCTTGGGAAGCAGCGGTGATGGCTCAAGTAATTAGGCTCCTGACTTCCATCTTCAGGCCAGCCCAGTACCAGCCATTGCAGGCATTTGAAGAGTAAACCAGCAGATCAGGAGCACTTGTTAGCTTTCATAATTCTCTTTGTGCCTCTATCAATAAATAATAAAAAAAATTTTTAATGTAGAATGAAAGCAAATTTCACATGCATTTTAAAAATAAAGGAAGCATTTAAAAAATTTCCTTGTGCAAACTGTATGAGGCTATTTCTTTATATCCTGCAGGGTGATGAGTTCTCTCTCTCTGCTTATTGTTTTCCTTAGGAATACTAGATGGAAACCTGAAAAGCACTGCTTACTTGATAAGAGCTGAGAGATTCCTGGCAGCAGAGTGAATAAAGCTCATGGCCCACCAGCTAGAGAGGTAAGAGATTTTTATAATACCTTTTAATATAAAATATTCTTTGTATTTTGTGAGTGTCTGAAACATTTCTGAATTCACCAGATGTTTCCAGACTGTAATTCTCAGCTGCTGACAGCCAGCAAATGTGTAAATGTCCTTTTGGAGGTAGAATGCATATCAGCATATAAAAGCACACTGAACTCTTAGGTTAAAGTGTTTAATTTGGTTTAACTTAGAGGTTTCTAAACTAAAGGGAACTTTCTTTAACAAAGGATTCCCACATAATTGTCCTAATTCTCTTAGGATTTTATAGGAATAGCTACAGGAGTTAATCTGTGAGGTATTTTCCAGATTTCAAAAATATTTTGAGCAAAACGTTTTCCCAGTCCAAGACTGCCAAGCTAACCAAAATGTCAGATTTATTTTCTTTCTAATTGAATTATATCAACTAAGTTTATTACCACGATCATCTCATGCTGATCAGAGACATTAATTGAATGTTTTATAGTTACCTAGCACATTTATGTTCTAACCATATTGTAGTAATGTTAGAAATGGAAAGTACAATGGTCTCAAGCCATTTATAGTTTGAGGATATACCTTCTAAAATTGGAAGGAATATGTCAATTTAATGTGGTCTGGCATTAAAATCTATGAAAATACGGTGTTCTTATTACAGACTTCATTAGCTATATCAAGATGCGCAAGCAGTTTGGGCTCTGCTGTGGCGTCCCATATGGGTACTGGTTCAAGTCCTGACTGCTCTGTTTCTAGTCCAGCCCCCTTCTAATGTGCCTGGGAAATCAGTGGAAGATGGCCTAAGTGCTTGGGCCCCTGTACCCATGTGGAGGACCCAGAGGAAGCTCCTGGCTTCAGAGCTGCCCAGCTCCAGCCATTGTGACCATTTAGGGAGTGAACCAGCAGATAGAAGATCGTTCTCTATTTCTCTCTCTCTCTCTCTCTGAATTCTGCCTTTCAAATAAATAAATCTTTTTTTTTTTTACAAAAATGCACAAGCAAATTGGCATTTGCTGTTGTACCTGAAGATCCAAATCAAAAGAGAAACTATGTATGCATGCACAATTACTCTAATTTTTCTTAAAAATTGGAAAATAATTAAAAGGTTTATATGTTTGAAAGTTAAACTTTTATCTATTTCTTATTTTTAAATTTGAGATTAACATGTAATACCTGCATATTTTTGTACCAGTACATTTAAATCCATAGACACAACATAGACCAACTAAACCAAGAAACCAGCCTTTACATTTCCTTATCTTCTCCTTGTGTTTGGAACCTGCCAGGTCCTGTGTTCCAGTTCTTTGTACCAAATATAATAAATCATCACGAGCTAAAGTTACTCCACTGTACTGCAAAACACCGGAGCCCCTTACCGTCGTCATCTGACCAATTTGGTGCCCATTACCCAGCCTTCCCCATTCCTCTCCCGCACCCTTCAAGGCCTCTAGTAATCACCATTTTAAATTTAGATGATGTATGTCACACACAAATAAGTGAGAACATGTGGGCAGTATTTGTCATGCTTTGTCTGGCTTTGACTTACTATAATGATCACCAGTTTCACCTATTTTGCTGCAATTATCAGCATTTCATTCTTTTTTATGGCAGAATATTATTCCATTGTGTACATGTACATTTTCTTCATCCAGTCATCTATGAATAGACATCTAGGTTGATTGTGTATCTTGGCTTTTTTGAGAAATGTTGCAGTGAACTGGGAGTTCATATCTCTTTGATATGTTTCTTTCATTTTCTTAGGATATATACCCAGAAAAGGGAATGCTGGGTCATATGGTAGATCTGTTCTTAGGTTTTTTGAGGAGCCTCCATACTGTTCTCTAAATGGATGTACTAATTTGCATTCCGACCAATATTGTGTAAAGGTTTCCTTTGTCCACATCCTTGCCAGCATTTGTTTTTGTTGCCCTTTTGTTAATAGCCATTCTGATTGGAGTGAGATGATACCTCATTGTGGTTTTGATTTGCATTTCCCTGACATTTTTTCATGTATTGGCTGGCCTTTTATATTTCTTTTTCTGAGAAAGTTCTATTCACGTTCTTTGCCCATTTCTTGATCGGATTGGTTGTTGTTTTGTTGTTGAATTTTTCAGTTCCTCAGTTATTCTGGGTATTAATCCTTTGACAAATGAATAATTTGCAAATATTTACTCCCATCTTGTTTGTAGAGTTCATTCTTTTGAATGTTTCTTTTGCTATGTAGAAGCAACTTAGTTTGATATAATTCTGTTTATCTATTTTTGCCATTTTTCCTTTGCTTTTGGGTTCTAACCCAAAAAGTTGTTGCCTATACCAATGTCTTGATGTGTTTTCCACTATGTTTTCTTCTGGTTATTTTCATAGTATCAAGTCTTACATTTAGATCTTTGATCCATTTTGAGTTGGTTTTTGTATAGAGGGAGAGGTATGGGTGTGGGAGGGCCTTATTTCAGTCTTTTGTATATGGCTATGTAGTTTTTCCAGCATGAAGAGATTGTCTCTTCTCCAGAATAAGTTTTTAGGCCCTTGTCAAAGACATTGGCTGTAGATGTAAGGATTCACTTTGGAGTTGTCTATCCTGTTCCGTTGACCCATTTGTCTGTTGTTATGCCAGTATCCTGCTATTTTAGTTACAAAAGCTCTATGGTATGTTTTGCTATCTGGTGCCATGATGCCTCCAGGTTTTTGCTTTTGTTTTTAACATTTCATTGGGTTGGATATTTTCTTGTTTTTATTTGAGAGACAGAAATACAAGAGATTTCTGGTTCGCTCCCCAAATGCCCACAATAGCCAGAGTTGGGCCAGGCCAAAACCAAGAGTTGGGACTCAATCCAGGTTTCCCACATGGGTGGCAAGGACCCAATTACTGAAACCAGCACCTGTTGTCTCCAAGTATTGTGGGAAAGTACATAGTTAATGAGAGGAGCCACATTGGAATTTTGCCAGCTAAGGGTAGAGTGAAGGTCTGACAACCCCTTGCCAACTGGCCCAACTGTCAGTGACTGACTGATAAGTACTGCAGAGTTTGACAGCCACACCTGAACTGTGCAATGGTGAGGGTCCATAATTGACACCACAGACCATTGTTGGATGGCTCATCCCACATATGGGAGGTCCTTGATTGACAGCTGCTGTCAGTCATGTTTTCAAAGGCCACAGTCTGCCTGCCCTGACCCCTGTGACATCCTGACTGGGCCCACATGATGGGTCTCCTTCTGTGTACATCCAGGCTCTCTTTCCCTGCTGTGCACAGGCAGGCTTCCCTGTGTGTACACCATGTAGGCCCAGCTCCCATGCACCAGCAAGCCCTGCCCCTCTCCCAGTAGCAGAAACCAAAAGTTCACAATATTGTGAACTTGCCAGCTCCTCAGTGACCTTTAAGTCATAATAAAGCTACCATAGGGGCCACTCCCATTCTCATCATACACCTGACACCATGACACTTCCACTATTTCCTAAAATTGAGAAATGGGCACTGCTGCAGCCCACTGCCCCCTTTTGAATATTAAATTTTAACCCAGGACATCACCCCCAATGCTTCGGGAGGGTCGGAAGGGTAGGCCTAAGCTCGTTGATGGGGTTTTCTTCTTCCTCCCTGCCAAATAATCAAGGCTTTTTCTTTTGTGGGCTTTTTAGCTTTGTCATGTCTTTTTCTTTCATGGATACTTCTTCATTGTTGGAAGTTTTTCTTTAGAGAAGGGTTTTTCTTTGTTTGGAAGCTTTTGCTTTTTTGTCTGTTTTGTTCATAAATGACTTGGTTCTTGGCTTACACTTTTGCTCCAAATAAATCCTTGTTTCCTGTTCATCTCTGTGCCTTCACCTGGGAATTCTTTTCATTCGTGGAAGGAACGACCTGCAGTAAGCTTAGCCAGGATTCCCCAAGTCCCGCCACACCAGGGTGTCCATCAGCCGGAAGCTGGAATACAAGATAGAGCTGAGACTCAAATCCAGGCACTGTGATAGAGGATGCAAGCATCCCACATTGTATCTTAATCACTATAAAGAGCCTGCCCTGCTTTGTTCTTTTTAAGATTGCTTTGACCGTTCAGATTTTTTGGTGTTTCCTAGGAAATTTTTTTTTTTTTTGACAGGCATAGTGGACAGTGAGAGAGAGAGACAGAGAGAAAGGTCTTCCTTTTTTTTGCCGTTGGTTCACCCTCCAATGGCCACCACAGCCGGCGCACCACGCTGATCCGATGGCAGGAACCAGGTGTTTCTCCTGGTCTCCCATGCGGGTGCAGGGCCCAAGCACTTGGGCCATCCTCCACTGCACTCCTTGGCCATAGCAGAGAGCTGGCCTGGAAGAGGGGCAACCGGGACAGAATCCAGCGCCCTGACCGGGACTAGAACCCGGTGTGCCGGCGCCACAAGCGGAGGATTAGCCTATTGAGCCATGGCGCAAGCCCGTTTCCTAGGAATTTTTAAGATTGCTTTCCTGGTTCCGTGAAGAATGTTGTTGGTATTCTGATGGGACTTGCCTTGAATCTCTAAGTCACTCTGAGTGATGTGGACGTTTTAACAATGTTCTAATATGTGAACATGGAAGGCCTTTCCAATTTTTGTGTGTTTTGTTCAATTTCTTTCATAAATGTTTGTAATTTTCCCTGTAGTGATCTCTTACATCTAGTTAAATTTATTCCAAGGTTTTTTTTTGTTTGGTTTTGCTTTTTGGTGGCCATGATAAATGGGATTTTTTGCTTGTTTTTTAAAGATTTTTTTATTTATTTGAAAATCAGGGTAACAGAGACAGAGAAACCGGTATCTTCCATCTGTTGATTCTCTCACCAAATGGCTACTACATCCCAGACTTGGCCAGGCCAAAGCCAGGTGCCAGGAACTCCATATAGGTCTCCCTGTGGATGCAGGGGCCCAAGGACTTGTGCCACCTGCTGCTGCTTTTCCAGGTGCATTAGCTGGAAGCTGGTTTAGAAGCAGAGCAGCCAAGACCTGAACCATACTCTCATAAGGCATTGCAAGCAGTGGCTTAACCTACTGCACCACAA